TATATAGAAATTTAATTTAATAAAATTTAATAATATTAATATTAATTTTTATATAATATAAATTATTAAATGATATTATTTAACATAATATGTAGATGTTATTGATATGAATATATAGGATGTGATAAATTTATAAATTATAAACTAATGTTTAAAAATATAAAATTGAGAAAGTGTTATTATATTAATTTTTTATTGAATATTTATCGTAAACAAATATATATATATTAAAAAAAAAATATTCTAAATAAAATTAATTATCATAAAAGTATTAATTGTAACGAAGAATATTTTCATATTGATATAAATATTTAAATAAATAAATTCTATCAATGATTATAAATAACTTTTATTTGAAGTTTTATTTTAAAGTTTTAATATTAATTTTCTTTATTTTATTTACCAAATATTTTATTTATTAGATATGCATATGTAGAAATTTCTACACAATAAGTATATGTATAAGAAATTTTTATTTTTTTTCTGTATTATGTTTCGTATTATACGATGCTAATCAAAATAATTTATTTTTTTCTTTAAATTAATTATTATAGTAAATAGCTGTAAAGAGAATATAAGAATTTTAATTGAAATAAGAAAAATTAGAGAGAAATAATTAATCAAAAATGATATTTTAAAATAAGAATAAAGTATGTAAAAAAATTAAGGAAACAGTGGCCTGTTTGGCAACGTGGTTCGGAGTAGTACATGGTGTTGTACCCCCACCTCCTGACGAAAACTTAAAAATGCCGCCGCAGCGCGACCCGAATCGATATTCGTCGGTAGAGTCACGTGATCTAGGTTTGAGCACTCTCAACCAATCGGTGTTTCGCTGAAACGAAGTTTACTCTCCTTGTGTTACAGAGCGACGACACGACATCTAACTTTAGGTAACTGGAACAACAGTTCGCGACTGGCAGCGCACCGGTTTACGTTTTGGCGATGTGTCGTTCCGAAGCCAGTTACGCGAGTGGTTTTGTGACACGTTTAACCGTTAAGGGAGTGAATACAAAGATAATATCACGGTAGTGGTGTGTAGAAACAAATCAATTTGATGCTTGACAAAATTTGTTGGCAATTTGTTTTTATTTCGAAAGAACGTAACGGCAGTGTGCGTGTGAGTATTGCTGATATTCATATCGCGTCTAGAAAAAGGTGATCATTAGTAGTAAAGAGGAAAATCGGAAGAAAACTAACAATTATTAGCGAAAAAAAGATAGGAGCAGCGAGAGGAAATGGTGGGGTGGTAACAAACATTGGAAAAAAAGAAAAAAAAATATACTATACATCATACGTGTGACACGCACGACGTACGCGTACGCACACATATATAGATACGCGCGCTTGCGGGCGCGCTTACAGATACAGGCACGTAATAACGTTACATACACGCGCACTCAAACACACACACGCACACGCGCGCGCGCGTGCGCGCGTGTGTGTATGTACTTTATAGTAGATGAATACATACACGTATTTATACATAATAGAAAGAGAAGAAGAAGAGAAGGACGGTGCGAGGGAGGTTAAAGGAGAACGGTCAGGAAAGAACCGAGAGAACAAGAGAGAGAAATATAGAGAACAAGAAAGAAAGAAGAAAGCGAAACGTGCGGATGAAAGGAAATAGGAATCAAAAAATATGATAGCGTTACATTTATTATGCGGTGTTCGTAAGTACTAAACGATCCGCGTGGGACTGAAAATTGTAAAGCAAAATAATCGACGAACTTTTTCTTTTATTTTTCATTAATTAAAATAAATTTGTCATCGATGTACGATTTAATCCAAGTAAATATTGACGTGATCGATAGAAAAGTACAGTGTTCGAGATTGAATATCGTTGATTTCGAATTATTATTTACATGGGAAAATCGAAGGCGAAATATAATACGAGATATGTGGTACGATATAATTAATTGCGAGAAAGAAATAGAATAGCTGTGTTTGAAAGAAAAGGAGAAACAAGTGAAAAATATGAAGAGATGATCCCATAAAGGCAAAGAAATGTATAGGAAAGAAAATATAGGAAAGAGAAGCGAAGAAAACGGAAAGAAATAAAATAAAGAGAAAAACGTGTACGAAATAATAACATTAAGGCTAAGAGTTTTTGAGAAACGTGTATATGCGTGCGTGCGTGTGTATAGTATATCAGTGGGCAAGATGGAGGAAAGTCAGCTGTTGATGACGGAACTTCCGGCATTGACGCCGAGTCGTGGTACAACGTTGCTTCATCGTTCAAGACATTATTATCAGTTACACCAACCGCACCTGGCTGCGATACCGACCTCGCAGAGTCAAGGGATTCTTTATAACTCGAGTAACGCGCCACATTATACTAGCGGTACGACCGGTCTACCGGCATACGCGCAAGGTCTTTCATCGAGGCAACAACCGCAAGTAATTGCTCGCGGTACTGTCACACCGAGCACGCATATCTCCTGCCTGTATCCTGAAATATTGGCGTTGATCTTCAGCTACCTCGAGGTCAGAGATAAGGGACGTGCCGCCCAAGTATGCACGGCGTGGAGAGATGCAGCGTATTACCGATCTGTTTGGCGAGGGGTTGAAGCCAGATTACACCTAAGAAAACAGGCACCAGCGTTATTCGCTAGTCTGGTAAGAAGAGGAGTGAAAAGGGTCCAGGTATTGTCGTTGCGGAGAGGTCTCGGCGATGTTTTGAAAGGCGTGCCAAACTTGGAGGCGTTGAATCTCTCGGGTTGCTATAATATTACCGACGCTGGCTTGATCAATGCTTTTTGCCAAGAATATACCACGCTTACCGAACTCAATCTTTCGTTGTGCAAACAAGTGTCAGACATTTCTCTCGGTAGGATAGTGCAGTATTTAAAAAATCTCGAACATTTAGAACTCGGTGGTTGTTGTAACATTACCAATGGAGGGCTTCTTTGTATAGCATGGAATTTGAAGAAATTAAAAAGACTCGATTTACGAAGTTGTTGGCAAGTATCCGATTTGGGTATTGCTCACTTGGCTGGTGTAAATCGCGAAGCAGCTGGAGGAAATCTTGCATTGGAACATTTGAGCCTTCAGGATTGTCAACGGCTGAGCGACGAAGCTCTCAGGCACGTGTCGATCGGTTTAACCACTTTGAAATCGATTAATCTCTCGTTTTGCGTATGTATTACCGATTCAGGGTTGAAACATCTAGCCAAGATGTCTAGCTTGCGCGAATTGAACCTTCGATCCTGTGACAATGTTTCCGATATCGGTATGGCTTATCTTGCGGAAGGTGGCAGTAGGATTTCTTCATTGGATGTATCATTTTGCGATAAAATCGGAGATCAAGCGCTTGTTCACATTTCCCAAGGATTGTTTAATTTGAAATTATTATCGCTATCTGCTTGTCAAATCAGCGACGAAGGTATTTGCAAAATCGCAAAGACCTTACACGATTTGGAAACGTTGAATATTGGTCAGTGCAGCAGATTGACGGATAAAGGACTTTACACCATTGCTGAGAGTATGAAACACTTGAAATGTATCGATCTTTACGGATGCACCAGGATAAGTACCAATGGCTTAGAAAGGATTATGAAATTGCCGCAATTGAGTACGTTAAATCTTGGTCTTTGGCACGTGCGGTGATGGCTTTTTCTCAATCGTACATATTATATGCGTCCCTACATTCGTATCAGTGACCAACATGTTTCCTCGGTGCCTGTGAAACATTGCCAGATACATGCCGATTTTCTAGTTGTTTCTCTTCTTCTTGTGAGTTTTTATTCTTTCCTTATTCTTTTCTCTCTTCTGTCCATTATTCTATTCCCTACATCTCCCTTTCCTTTCATGCATAAGTACATAGACAATCTATAAATAATTCAACTTGATCTCTTTCATTTTCTTTTTTCTTTTCAGATCATGTGACACGATTGCGTAACGCGTGCACGCTTATCTTTTGTTCCTTGTCATCCTCACAATTATGTTGAACACAAATTTTCCTTTTTCGATTATACATCATCGTATACATATATATACCGATATCTAATTGCTAATTCGGATCAATATATTCGATATATACTTGTATATATTTTGATTTTATCATATCAAATTTTCTCAAGATTTTTTCTCAAATTTTCAACGCTTCGTTCATCGCGTATTTACCATACGTATTTACATAGACATATTATTGGAAATTAATTTCTAATGTAATTTTCTCGACGATACATAATCGTATTTATCTATAGATTCGGGATTCCATTCGTTTCTTTTATTATAATCGTTAAAATTGAATTTTAATCGAAGTTTAAACTAGACTATATATCTAACGCTTACGCTCTTTTCGTGTTTTTCAACTCGTTCTACGTAATGAAAATTCGCTAATACTGTTTCTTTTTTTCCTTCCCTTTATCATATCAAACAACAGCGTTTTCTTCTTTATATGTACATATATTGTATACATATATATATATATG